TACAGGATAAGTTTTCCGAAAATAAACTATTTTCCTGCTTCACTGTGGGTCTACTTCTCCACCTCAGATGCCAGGCCTGTCCCTGGACATCCTAGGGTGTCAGCCTACCTGCTGAAGTAAGGGCTTAGTCAGCCTACAGGTGATACACCTAGACCAAGCTAGGCTGGCTTTGGTTGGGAGAGATGGGGAGGGGACTCAACCCCAAAGCTCACTCCCAAAAAATGGGAGCACTTAGTCTACACTTTGTTTAGGAATAAGCACTCTTAAAGCATGGACAGGAAGGGTTTTTTTGGGGGGAGGGTTGAGGGGAAGCTGCAAATTTCCAAGAAGTTTCCAGTGCTCTCTGTCTCCATGCCTAGAAAACAATGTTTTCCCTAAGATCCCCAATACCTTAGTGTCTGTCTTTCTATCTAATATACCCTGCTTTGCTTTTCTCTACCCAGTAGGATCAAGCCCTCTCTCTCAAGTTCAAATGACTTACATCAGAGGTCCTTTGAAGGGGCAGAAGGAGAAACAGGTATAGAATGACATAAACTTTGAGATAGCCAGACGGTGCAAATTTTGGATCTGCCACCTACTAGCTATGTGACCTTGGGCAAGCCCACTAACGTGTCTGAGCCTCACTCTCCTTGTCCATAATGGGTCAATGAGATAATGTATAAGAAGACAAACAGGACTCAGAGAAGGATGATGATGATGATGGCACCAAGAACTTCTGAACTACAGAGTAGCCCAGCTTGGAGGTCCCTGAGAACTCCACCCCTCTCAGGACTCATGCCCCAGCTCCAGATGGCCCCCATACCCCCATTCTCAGTATTGCTTCCATTCCTGGCAACAGTCTCAGCAGGAATCATTAAACTCACCTGGCACTACCTACCTAGCCCCCTCACCAGGGGCTACATCACATCACAGCACATAAAAATAACTAATTGGTTCCCACAGCCCTCTCCATCCATCCCAGGTCCCCTTCGAGCCTCCCAGTTGTGAGGTAGGTGGGAATTATTTTCCTCCCCCATTTTACAGAGGAGCAACTGAGGCCAAGGGAGGGTAGATAGTCTGTACAAGGACTTGAGGCTGGTCTGATTCTAAATTCCCCATGCCTTCTTCGTATTGTTTTGAGGTCTAGCCTTGTTGAAGGGAGAAGGGTGCGTTCTATGTGTACGCTTAGGAAGTCCTCAGCACACCTTTACAGGTACTTTGGGAGCTAACAGGTACCTGTTAGCTAGATATTCTTAGACCGCAGCAGAGCACCTTAATGCTAATACTAATGAAAAGTAGGGGCAGAGTGGACAGAAGGCCAAGTGAAGGGGAAGTCTGGGTACCAGACAGGTCGCAGCTGACATCCAAAGTAACCTTGGATAAGTTTCTGAGTTTCTCTTGATCCCCACTTTACAACATAAATGGCAAAAAAATAGGTAGCCAGATATACAGATAGAAAGCTCAGTTTAGGCAAAACACATCTGCATTTCTCATCATCATTACTTGGGCTTTGAAATCAACAGCTCGGGGACCCCCCACCATTTAAAAAAAAAATGTAAAGACAAAACAATATAACTTAATAGTTCTGCCAACTCTTCAAAAAATCAGAGAGCACAACACTGAAATTTTTTTTTCGTAGGTTTTTTTATTTTGGCAAAGGAAGATTCAGTTCCTGGAAATGCTTACAAAATGATTCCTGACATTGGGAGGAGATAGTTAAAAAAAGGAAGGAGACGAAGAAGAAGAAAAGCTATATCCATGGAAAGATAAAGGAAGAAGGTGCAAAGAAAGAGAACAAATAAAAGAAAGAAAAGACAGAGCTAAAAGGGAGGGGGGACTTTAACGGGCCCCAATTCAGGGGACGTTATCAAGTTCTCTGCATCTGCAATTCACAAGCCGCTCGCGGGCCGGGGAGCTGCAGCCCCGCCCCTTTCTCGGGTGTCGGCCGCTGATTGGTGGGGGCGGCAGTCGCCGGCCGGTGACTGCCCGAGGAAAGGTTGCCTGGGACACGCATCCCTGTGTGAACGCATGACGTCCCACCCTGGCGCCAGGCTGTCTGGGGCTGAGTCTTAGATCAACACAGCTGTGGGACCGGGACCCACAGCTGGGCAAAGGAGCGGATTCCTCAACAAAAAATAGGATTGTGAGAAAAGTTCTGAAACAAAAACAGCGCAGACAAAAGCCTTAATGACATCCTTTCATAAAAATAAAAAATGCAAGAGGGGGGAAAAAGCTGGTAAAAGGAGCAGAACTGGGAACAGAAAGTTCAGAGGCATTTGGAATAAGAGGCTGAGGCCCCCGCCACAGCTAAACAAGTTGCAGAAGGCCTGGGCTAGTCAGCGAGTCCGCTGTTGGGAAAAAGAAGTCTCTGGGGTTCACACTTTATTCAGGGTTCCCACCCCAAACCTGTGTCTTTCCGAATTAGAATCTTAGGTTGGAGAGGGAGAGGACCCTAAGAAATCATTTGCTCCCCACTCCCTCAATTTTTCAGAAAAGGAGGCCCAGGAAGGAAGGAAATTGATCCAAGGCAACGCTGTAAGATATTAGCATGGCCAGGATGGAATTACTTTGCTTGCTCGTCTTGCTATAGCTCTCTCCTGCCTTATGTCACAATGCCCATGGGCATTTCAGCTTGAAAGCATCTTGGGAAATAATAAATGTGAAGGTGCTTCACAAACATCTATAGAGGCCTGAGGCATCAGAAGCAGTGATGGAGGAGGGGAAAGGAGAGAGGACAACCTACTTGGACCTATGGACAGCACCAATCGCCCAGTTGGCCCCATGCTGGTTCCCCAGGCAGCTAGGAAACTAAGATCTGATAGAGATCATGTCGAGTGCTTTGCAGAGAAGAGACATTTAATAATGATTTGTTGAATGATGAGGTAGATCTAATTAGCTCCATTTTATAATTGGGGAAATTGAGGCACAGAGAGTTGACTTACCCAAAGTTTACATTGCTGGAAAAAGAAAAATAAGGGATTTGAACATAAATCTGTCTGGCTCTGAATGCCATGATTTTTCTAGAACCTCCTGGGCTTGGTCATTTCGCCCAAACCACAGAAGTCTGCAAGAAAGAAAAGGAAAGGGTTTTCTATTTGATTATCCAGGAGTCTGCATAGCCACCATTTTCCCTTCCATGAGCAAACAGCCAGCACACCCCTCAGTTGATGTCAGTGGTATATACAGACTCACTTGTCCAGGTTATTTTCTTTTCCCCCTAACACTTATCCTAGAGAAGATATTCTTGAAAACATTAATATTCTTGGAAGAAATCTTTCAAAGACCTCTTTTTTAGGATACAAACTCCTATGGTATGATGGCAAAGAATGAGGTTTCAGGCCTGGCTCTGCCATTACTTGTGGTATGATATCGGACATATTTTCTATATATCCCCTTTCTGCGTCCTTGACCGTCCCACATCTGCCTATTCAAATTTCGTAACATCCTAGACTTCTGGAAAGGATTTCAAATAATCACTTAGCACCACTCATTTTATTCACAAAACTAAGACCTGGGTACCTGGGCTTGTTCAAGATCACATAACAACTTTATTGGCAGGGCTGGGATCTTAAATCTAGGACTCCCAATTCCTGGTCCAATGTCCTTTCTATGACTATTTTGAAACTCTCCTAGCTCTGAGCTCCCATTGTCCTGTTAATCAGTGCCACATACGACTGGACTCTTAATTGTTTCCTGTGTTAATCTTGTCTCCCCAAATTGTGAGATTCTTGAAAGCAGGAGCCACTGTTTTATGTGAATCGACTGCATAAATATTTACCAACTGATTGATTAAGGAAACAACCGTTGGGGGATTCTACTTGGTTGTTGCAAGATAGAAACCAGCATTTTGTGGGCTGCAAATTCTCCAAAGTCCTGGGAAGTGACAAAAAGACAAGCAAAGAATACAGACTGTAATGTCCTGTTCCAAGGGCTTAGCTTCCCTGTCTTCTGGTCCCTTTCCTGGGCTATCAGATAGAGCTGGAGATATTTCAGCAAGGCTAAGAATAATCAAGTCCAGGTGGCCTGCCCTTCCCTAGCAGAAGGGGACAGACAATAGAGAGATTAAATTACCAGCTATTATTTTCTGCATAAGGTGTGCAGAGAATGAAGGAAAAGGGGCAAGCAAGAGTTAAGAGATTCGCTGACTATGGGTTTTTCTGAAAACAGGTTATATAGAGATCATCCATTCTGCCCCCTTAGCCATCCCCCAAGATAAAAACCCTGTCCGAAATTTAATCAAACTCACTTCCAAAACACAACTGGGCATCTATTTGGCTCCTTCTGAGTGCAAAGGGCCGATGGATGGGAGCTCTTTTTCTTCCCCGTGCAAAAAGCACAAATGCAGGCTGCTTTCTTTTTTTTTTCCCTCCCTGTTGCTCAAATAAATAGTGTTCTTTGCTCAAACCCCCTTCCCCTCCTCCTCCTGCAATCTCAGCGCCTAGCCCAAATCTGTTTTCTTCATTGTAACCTCAGCTTCACCGCAATTAATTTTTTTCCCCTCTGGTCACAAGATAATTCCTGACGCCAGTGAGTCTGGAGGTCAGACGAACAGCAAATTGGGGAACAAGGCGGCACTAATTCCTTACAAGTTTCCCTTGAAAAATCTTTCGCTTAAAAAAAAAAAAAAAAAAAAGCTTCTTTGCTGTTCAGGGATTTATGACCTCGGAGGAGCTGAGGGTTCTAACTAGTGCTGGGCTGTGGGTGGACTGGCAGGGGGCAGGGGAGCTTAAAGATCTGGGGCGCTGCCAGGAAAAGGCAAATTCTTAAAGTTAATGGTTTTAAGTGATTTTTTAAATCCTTGCTGGCAACGAGGCCCGCCTCTCTCCGCCTCTCCCCAGTATCAGCGCTTCCTCATTCTTTGAATCCGCGGCTCCGTGGTATTCGGCGTCAGACCAGCAGAAGGAAGCCTGTTTGCAATTTAACCAGGCTGGGAACGCCCAGGGCCGGAGGGGGCGGGGCCCTGGCGGCGCGTTTTGCATAAAGGGGCGTGTCTTCGCGGCGCGCTCTATAAAAGCCGCCGCCGCGAGCGTGCGCGCACTGCTGGCTGCTCTAGGGGCTCCGCTCGTCCTCGCGCCCGCCGCACCTCCGAGCTCATTCCTCAGCATGAAGGCGCTGAGCCCCGTGCGCGGCTGCTACGAGGCGGTGTGCTGCCTGTCGGAGCGCAGCCTGGCCATCGCGCGCGGCCGCGGCAAGGGCCCCGCCGCCGAGGAGCCGCTGAGCCTGCTGGACGACATGAACCACTGCTACTCGCGCCTGCGGGAGCTGGTGCCCGGGGTTCCGCGAGGCACGCAGCTTAGCCAGGTGGAAATCCTGCAGCGCGTCATCGACTACATTCTCGACCTGCAGGTGGTCCTGGCGGAGCCGGCCCCGGGACCCCCGGACTGCCCGCATCTCCCCATTCAGGTGGGCGCGCAGGGGAGCCGGGCGGCGCTGAGCTCCAGAGCAGGGATGCTGCTGCACCCCGAGACCGTCCAACAGCCACGCGTAACTCTCCCTCTTTTTTTTTTCCCCCCTCTCAGACAGCCGAGCTCGCTCCGGAACTTGTGATTTCTAACGACAAGAGGAGTTTTTGCCACTGACCTGGCGGTCCTGGCGCTTCCAGGTGAGTCTCCCCGCCTTCGGGGGCGGGGCGCGAAGGCAGATCCTGGAGCTGGCGGCCTTTAGAGGGACGGGCGCCCCACCCCCACCTCCCCGGGGTAGGGAAACCGAGGCCTGGGGGGTTCAGCGACTGGCCCACTGGGTCACATCAAACGAATGGCGGGACCCATTCCAGCGCCCGTCTGGTGTGCGTCTCAGCCTTAAGCGCGCGCTGTCCCTGCCTCGGTGGCCAAAGACCCGAGAAAGTAGGCGCAGGACCCACGAAACAAAATAGCTGGGAGTCCTTAAGGGAGCGGTGTTTTCCTCTGCATTCGCCTCCCCCCACCCCGGGTCTATTCCAAGAGGGAGGGGTGGGGTGCGCTCCGCCTGTGGTCCTTTGGCGCCAACTGGGTGGGGGCAGCGCGGGGCGCGCAGTTATCAGCTGGAGGTAGAGACCAAGTTTCCTCCCTGGCGCCGGCCAGTCTGCGGGCGGCCCCCGCCTCGGCGCGCTCGGCGGAAACTGACGGCTCCCTGGTCGTCTTTCCTCCCCCACCCAGAACGCAGGTGCTGGCGCCCGTTCCGCTGGGACCCCGGGACTCTACGGCCGGAAGCCCGAGGGCATGGATGGGCCCCAGCCTCGCCCTGCCCACTTGACTTCCCCAAACCCCTGCCTCAAGGCTGGACCTGGCGCCCGGGAGCCAAGGACTGTGAACTTGGGTGGCCGGAAGAACCCGAGCTAGCGCTGGGCACCAGCTGAGCAACGCCACCCAGTCCCCTTCCACTCCCACCCCCACCCCCCCAATTTTAAAGACTGTCTTTTTGAGAGTGTGGAGGTGTGGGGAGGTGTTGCTGTTCTCCAAACTCTGCCAAGGCAGCGGGAGAGCTGGTCTTCTGGTCACCTTGGAGAGAGGCTCAGTTGCCCTGATTATGAACTCTATAATAGAGTATATAAGCTTTTGTACCTTTTTTGCAGGAAGGTGACTTTCTGTAACCATGCGATGTATATTAAACTTTTTATAAAAGTTAACATTTTGCATAATAAAACAGTTTTTAAACAGTTGTGTTATGTATTTTGATTTCTTAAGTGTTAACACTTTCTTGCAAGGATTGACTGATGTTCTTCTTGAAGCTTGGGAAAAACAAATGTGCTTATTCCTCTCGAAGGGAGATGGAAAAATGCACAGCTACCACGGGGGTGGAGGGGGGAGTGGAAAGGGCTCCTGATGGGATCCCTGCACTGAGGGAGGGTTGGATGCAGAGAAGATCCTGGCCCTGGCATCTCAAGGGGACTGACTGGCACATGCTCACCCAGCAAGTTGGGGGTTTTGCATAGAAATCTGTGTCTGGAGTCCCAGTTCACTCGGTGACAGCTCACGGGCAGATGGCTATCCTGTTAATTGTTAACTTTTTGTGAGATCTTTAACAGGGGAGGTGGAAAGAGTGGAGCCTCACTTGGTGCCCAGACAGAGGTGGTGATAGACCCATTTCAAAGATGGACACCACTGGCCTGGTTTCATTTTCCTTCTCATGCTCTCTAGTTTGACTTCTTGGGCTTCCACAGTTGGGGAAAAAAAAATAGGAAAGGGGTCTCTCCCTCCAAATCCCCAGCAACTCTGCTCAGAAGCATTTTGGTGTTTGTTGGGGGAATGCCGATGCCAATCCCTCCTCTATTGCGTGGGAGTCAGGACATGCCTCTGGTTGGCTGAGGAGGAGGCCCCACAACCTTCATTTCTGGTATTTCCTTCACAGAACACCTTCATTAGGAGCAGAAATGGAGAAATTGAGACTCAGTGGATAATGGGTCTGAACCAGGTTCCCATCTGGCTCCTTCCCCCTCCAGGAGCAGAAATGGGATTTTAACCTTAACTACAGTGACTGATTTTAGTGGCAGAAGTAGTGCCTGAGACTGGTCATTCCTCTCAGGGCCAGACCTGAGAGGGGGACAGAGGATAAAACTCCCAAAGCAGACCCCCCAGCTCCCACCTGGCAGCACCCCAGGTGGGCTCCACCACTTTCCTGGCCCCACTAGATTCCTGTTTATGATATGATCTCATCTGTGTGTTGGCCCCTGGCATAAATTGCTTCAATATTTCATAACAAACAGGTCACATCATCATCTTCACGCCTCAACCCTGGTGAGTTTTCAGGGGTGAACAGGGGCATGTGGTGGGGAGGCAACTTCTTGTCTTTGTCACTATCCTTCCAGTCAACCAGTGGTCCTTAACTTGTTTCCTGCTCTCCCCTGATGGAAGGTATGAACTCTCATTAGAAAATAAACACACACAGGGCCTCCCCGGTGGCGCAGCGGTTGAGCGCTGGGTTGCGAAGCTGCGCGCGGCCTCTGCGGCGCCGGTTCGATCCCCGGCTGCTCCCCGGCCACCAGAGGAGGGTCCCACATGGCGCGCAGACCTCTCCTGCCGCCCGCTGCTCCCCTCAGCAGTGTACTTCGGTCCTTCTGCCTGCTCTGCTCCCCACTCTGGCTCTGGTGAATTCTCTCGCCCTCCCGCGCTTCTGACTGTACCCAGTGCATGTATAAACAAAACAAACAAACAAACCAGCAAACAAATAAATAAAGCATGCCTCTATAAAAAAAAAAAAAAAAAAAAAAGAAATAAAAACACACACACACACACACACACACACACACACACACACCAGTTTTGCAGCATAATAGCAAGCCTCCAGTCCCTTGGGAAGGCCTCAGTCCCCATGGAAGAAATCTTGCCTCAACAGAGGTAAGCACAAGACCCAGGCTGGATCTAACTTGCATCAGCCGGTAGATGGGCTGTGCTGGCTCTGGAGGGTCAGACGGGGTACAGCTCTCAAGCCAGAGGCCCTGTCCCTTGAGCCTCAGTTTTCACATCTGCAGAGATTGCCGAGCTGGAGGCTACAGTACAGGCGCACCTGGCCCCACATCGCATCATTAATCACAGTAGGGCCTGGCACTTAACTCAAAGTCCCGTGTACCCTTTCTGCCACAGCCTGCTGCTTCCTGCTTGCTTAGAGCTTGTGGGACCGTGGAAGTCTGAAAGAGCCGAATGGCTCATCTGCCGTGTGACCTTGAGCAAACCACTTCATCTCTCCAAGCCTCTCGGCTCCCCTACCCAGCAGCTGGTGGTTCTCGTACTGCAGCCTCCCTGGACGGAAGATAATGGTGGGAAAGTTCTTTGAAATGCATCACACACCTACAAGGTATTATTAAGCTAATTCCAAGGAAATTGCCTGTCAGGTCCGCTGAGACCGAGCTGTTCAGGTGGCTGGGACAAAAGCTGAAACCAGCAAGCCAATTCACTAGTCATTAGAGAGTGAAAGCAATTTGGCCCCAGGTCTGAAAACTCTAGAGAGGAATCGAGTCTTCTGTCATAATCACCTATCCAGTGCCTACCAGGTGCCAGGCTCTATTTTGTCTTATTATTTTCTAATCCTCACCACACCCCCAGGCAAGTGGGTATCCTCAACCCCATTTTACAGAGGAAACAGATTCAGAGAGGCTGAAAAACCTGATCCAGGTCACACAGCAATGAAAAGTAAATGCAGGCCCGCCTAGGTTCAAAGTCCATGCCCTCACCTCTACTCCAGATCGGCCCCTTTCCCTCTCCATTCCTACCCCTGGCACATATTTGGTCCCTAGTGGGTGCTAACTGAGCGAAAGACTGAAGGCCACCCCAGCTCTCCCTCCTCCTTTTGTGAAATAGGAATGGGGGTACTGCCCTTGGGGGGGCGGGGGTCTGCATTAAAGAACCCATGCATGGAGCTTCTACTGGGCCCACGGCGAGCTGGGTGTCGCCTTCATTATGCCAGCAGCTCTGAAATACAGATATTTAGAAGGGAGTTTTACTTGGCAAATTAAAAAACAGACTCAAAACAGGCGAAGTCACTTGTCGCTGGTCCCCAGGCTCCTAAGTAACAAAGCAGGGCTTCAAACTCGCGCCCGTGGCAGCAGCGCTGGCGGCCTCTCCGGGAGGCCCCTGCAGCCCTCCCTGGCCGTGGGTCCGCCGGGCAGCCCTCAATTATCTGTCTTCCCGGACTCAGCACGCCTCGTGGCCACCGCTCCCTATTCCGCAGGCGACACCCCAAAAAGCAGCCGCCATTGCCTCTTCTCCCGCAGAGGGGCATCGGGGCGCGGGGGCTCCTGGGCCGGCCCCCCGGCCTCCTCGGGAGCCAGCCCCGCTCACCCGCGGCTGCTCCGGGCGGGCGGGGCCTCGGCCCACGTGGCCCCGAGCCCGGCGGGCGGGGCGGCCCCGGGCCCGCCCCCGCCCCGCCCCGCCCCGCCCCCGGCCCGGCCCGGCCCGGCCCGCCCGCCCGCCCGCGCTCCCCCCGCGGGCCTGGGGGCCGCTCGCAGGTGTTCGCTGGCGCCCGGATGTCTGCGCTCTGGCTCCGCTCTGGCTCCGGCTCCCTCCGCAGCCCGCGGGCGGGGCTCCCAGCCCATCCGGAGCCTCGCGCGCGCCCCGCCGCTCTGCCAGCAGCGCGGCCTCCCGGTTCCCAGCCTCCCGGCCCGGGGCCCCCGCCCGGCCGAGGCGCTGACCCGGCTGCGCGCCCGCGGCCCCCGCTGCGCCCCCCGCCCGCTTCCTGCCCGGCGGCCTCGCCCCGGCCGGGCGGCCCGCGCGCCCCCCGTCCTCGCCCTCGCGGGCGGCCCGCATTCCTCGAGCGCCTGCGACCTGCCCCGCGCCCGGCCTCGCCGACCTTCCGAGGGTGACCCCAGCCCTCCGGGTCCTCCGAGAAGCCGCTGCCCCCCCCCACTCCCCCGCCCTGCAGCCCTGAGCGTTCAGCGTGTAATTGTTCTCTGATTATCTTTCCTGTTAAGGGGCTGTCGGTGGCAAGGTCAGGGGGTCACTTTGTGGCTGAAATCAGGGTTCAGTCTGAAACTAGAGTGAGGGGTAACAGTTGGGGTGCAGCCGCCTGGCAGGGTTTGGGGATGCGTGTGCAACTAGAGTGAGGGGTAACAGAGTTGGGGTGCAGCCGCCTGGCAGGGTTTGGGGATGCGCGTGAAACTAGAGTGAGGGGTAACAGAGTCGGGGTGCAGCCGCCCTGGCAGGGTTTGGGGATGCGCGTGGGTAGCAGGACGCCAGTCCGGCCCGCTTCGTCGTGGGCAGGGTGTGAGGGGCATCCCGAGTCGTATTGGTGGTCAAGGTTAGTGAGTCCGTCTTGGGGTGGGATCCCTGGACGTGGAAACCGGGGTAGTAGGTCACCCTGAGACCAGGACTTAGGGTTTGCCTTTGACATGCCAGATAAAGGGGAGGGGGTCGTGCTCAGAATCGCATCCCCCGGTGACTGGGGGCTGGCCACCCAAGCAGTGGGGCTGACCTTTCTTCTGGGGACGCTGCCTCCCCTCAACACCACCCTTTTCCTGTTTTGTGCCAGAAGCCAGCGCAGAAGCCCTCCCCAGGCCACACCGTGGTCAAAGGAGCCCAGACTGGCAGTAGCACTGGCCGTAGTTGGGAGGCCTTAGGTTTTCCAGGGACCTCACCCTGCAACCACCCATGTTTAACAGCTAAGTTGATGCTCTTCACTGTACCTCTGTTATTTGTTCATACATTGAGAGCTTGTCAGGGACAGAGGGCCTTGGAGGTCACAGATGTGGCCCAGAGAGGGAAAGACGCCAGCTCAGCGGCACACAGTGGTTAGTAGTTTTCAAGGCCAGCCTGGAGCCCAAGCCTCCTAGCTTCTTATCTAGGACTCTTGCCATACTCTACCTACCCTGAGCAGGCATTGTTATTTCTGCTTTAGGGAGGGGACATCTGAGGCCCCACATCTCTCGCAGAGGACTCTATGGGGCTGGCACAGCCCCTCACCCTGAGGATCTGGAGAATGAAACCCTAAAGCATTATCTCCTGTCATTACCACCTAGCCCCCTCCCTCAGGCCCTCATTAGGAGCAAATGAAACAAGAGTGGCCAAGTGTGAGCTAGAAGCAGGGAATGTACACTCTTGAAGAACTGCAGGGTGGTGGGGGGGGGACTTAGCTGGATCCTTATGAAAACATATGGAACCCATTTCCCTGAGTGGAGGTGGTCACTGGCCAGCTGGCAGTTGGTCGGTTTGGGGCTAAATGTGTGTGGAGTTGTATGGCAATGAGGTACATGGCAGACTCCCCAAAATAGCCAGCCTGCTCACTGACCCAGGTTCTTCTTTTTTTTTTTTTTTTTTTTTTTTTTTTTTAAAGATTTATTTATTTATTTATACAAGCACTGGGTAGAGTCAGAAGCGCGGGAGGGTGAGAGGATTCACCAGAGCCAGAGCGGGGGGCAGAGCAGGCAGAAGGACCGAAGTACACTGCTGAGGGGAGCAGCGGGCGGCAGGAGAGGTCTGCGCGCCATGTGGGACCCTCCTCCGATGGCCGGGGAGCTGCCGGGGATCGAACCAGCGCTGTAGAGGCTGCGGGCAGCTTCGCAAGCCAGCGCTCAACCGCTGCGCCACCGGGGAGGCCCTGACCCAGGTTCTTCTTGAACCTTCCTTTGTTTCTTGCCTATGTCATTTCAGCATAAAAGGAGTTTTCAAGACACCTCAGGATGCTGAGTCACTCCAGGTTACACATGGAGACAGTGAGGACTTGGGGAGACCACCGGGACAGATGACCACATCTCCCCCTCCCCGACTCACACATGGCCCTTCCCCAGCAGGCTCCTTAACAGGTCTGGTAATGGGTTGGGATGTATGAAAAGTTAATCCCAGTTTCCAAGGAGGGTTCATCCAGGTGGGCCCTCAGGGGCATAGAGATTGGCCCTCTGGCCTGCCAATCACTTTGTTCTCCCCCCCCCCCCCCCCCCCCCGCAGATTTGACTCCAGATACAAAAGGCAGTAAGTAAGGTTGGAAAGATGGCATTCAGTGGTGCGCAGCCTTTCAAAGTAAATGGTGGGGGGCAGGGGAGGCTGCCTTCATTTTACCCTTCAGGACTCACAGGTATTAGGGATCTGCCAGAGGAATACATGTCAGAGCTCAGATCGCCAACCCAGCCTCCACATCCCATCCGGTGCTTTTGATGTCTGCAGCGCCTTTAAAATCTGGTACAAACCATTGGGCCGCACTGAGTTGGCTTCGGGCAGCTACCGCAGCCCTCCTCGCCACTGTCAGTAGGTTCTTGGAAACTGTAAAAGCAAAATGATGTGTCAAGTAGGTCCTCAAATAATGTCCTCCCGTTCAACTTTGGGTCGCCCAGGATTATTTTTTTCCTCACCAACGTTACAAGGAAACAAAGTGGAGTGGAGTGACATTATTCCAGGATCAGATGCGGTGAGTCTGGGACTCAGATGCTGGGTGAAATCCTGGCTTTGTCTTGTCTCAGTTA